ATACGTGGGGTACTACTAGGTCAACAGAACTGCAGTTTTGTCCACACGCAGTTCAAAGAATCATAGTTCCTGTAACCGGCAGAGCGGAAGTGGCACATAGGACGTAGGCAGATGTCATCTGCGGACATGTGCTGTCCCCTGCGCAACCATAACACCTCACATTATGCCCAAGTATGGCATATATCTGGAGACAGCGAATGCATGAGCTCACATCAGGCAGTCCATGGTGCATTCAAACCAAGCAGAAGGTTCGACAGTGAAGAAATCGGTAGAGGTCGAAATTCCACACCATGTAGGCATGCGGAAAGCACTGGAATAACCCGATCAGACATTGCGCACATGCCCTTGACTGGCTGCTACATAAAAAGCGTGGGATGTTTGCAAGGCTTCCATCTACACGTCGAGCCACTTCTACCTCGACGACTATAATGCCCCGGAGCCCATCAGCGAGGCCCCGTGGGCAGCACCGCCGCCACGGGGGCCTTCAACTCGAGCAGCAGCGTCACCGCAAATCTGGAGGTCGTGAGCAAGGTCGGTGCGCTGCGATCCCGCGGCGTCGGTGCTCACGATCCAGGGAGGAAAAAACGGCGTCCTTGTAACGACACGCTGCGAGTCAACGGAGCGCTGGCACCGGAGGCCAGCCTGCCCTTCCTGAGGTCCTCAGCCCGCTGCTGGAGCAGATCGCCGTCGGGGCGTCGGGCGAGACCGTGGGCAGGGCGATCCGCAACGCCTCTCCGACGGGGGCCGCCTCGCTGCTCCTGGATTCGAACAATCAGAACGGCGTGGCCGAGCTGGTGGTGCTGTCGGGCGGCGGCGTGCAGATCAACAGCTTCCAGCAGTTCATAAGCTTCAACAACACGTCCGGGTTGGCCAACATGGCCATCGAGCCCAACATCGGGGGGAGCAACGACGGGGAGGTCATCTTCGGCTACGGCTTCGTCACGCTGAGCGACCAGGCACTCAAGGAGAACGTCCGGGCCATCCCGGACTTCGATGCCGTGGAGCCGCAGCTCTACGACCGCATCGACGGGGGCAAGGAGCGGATTTGATGGCTCTTGATTATTCGAAGCTCTCGGTGGTGCTGTGGGGCGTGGTCAAGAAGCTGCAGAAACGGGTGGAGGCCCTCGGGCTTTTCCAGCAGCTGGCCCGGGACTTCAACGCGCGGGATCCCTGGAAGCTCTACCAGATAGCCCGGCGGGAGTTCCCGGGGCGGGCGGACCTGACGTCGGCGCGGGCCGCGGCGGCCCTGCGGAGCGACGTAGCCGCGGAGTTTGGGCAAGAGCGCGGCGGAGGGGCCGAACGACCGCCTGCAAGCGGACCTCATCGACTTCTGCCAGAACACAAGGGGCCACGAAGGTCCTGCCCGACAAGCGGGCGGAGACGGTGACCCGGGCAGCGGCGGAGATCATCCCTAATCTGGTCCAGAAGGAGGGCAACTACGGCCCTGCCCGGAAGCGTGGTGCACCGCCAGAAGGACCCCAGCGATCGGAATGCGACGGCGGTCATCAATCGAGCGATCCAAACGTTGAAGAAGGATTTGGCAGGCGAGGTGGCCCGGCACGGCGGCGGATGGGGGGATCACGTCGACGAGGCAACAGAGGCCTACAACGCCCGGCCACACCAGGCGGTCACGGTGGCTCCGAAAAATGTCGAGACGATGCCGGCGGCCACCTTCCGCGTTTATCAAGATAATGCAGCCAAGTTCCAGCACAACAAAGAGCTCACAGAGGGTCGCAAACGTCGATTGGAAGAAGCGGGTGCCTTTAGAGCTCCAACAAATGCAAGAAGAAGCTTCGAGCCACAGTACGGACCTGCTCGTGATGTTGCAAGCGTTGAATCCATGGTTGTTCGTGCCACAGATGGAACCGAAACTCTGTTGAAACATGCACTTCCAGTTCCGAGAGGCAGTGCCGAGTAAGCCAAGTTGACTCGACCTCCCGTACCTCTCGCCATTCGCCAGCTTCGAGACTTCAATCCTGGGCCTGTCGCCCCGCCCTAATCTTCTTCATGAACGAAAATGAGCCCGGAACTTTCATCCGCATGTGAAGCTGTCACGCAAACGCCTTCCGAAGAGCATGTCGTTCTCTTACTCGACGCTTGGTCGCCGCAATGGACATGGCGGGGTCGGCAACGAGCTATCGGAACTGGAGCATTTGATCGGTACTGCACCTTAGGTTTGTTCGCTCATGGAGGCAATGCTCCCAGCGTGTCTAAAGCTTCCTCAATGAAAGAAGCATGCATAGCAGTCAACCGTTTCATGCGACATCGCTTTCCAAATGGAACCTGGACTTCCATAGCAGTGCTGCTCAATCCTCGAATCGGACTGCATCGCGACATGCAAAACATGATCGGAAAATTGAATCATGCTCTCACTCTTGGAAACTTTACGGGAGGCAAAGTATGGATTGAAGATGATGCAGGAACTTCAATCGAAAAACTGAGCAAAAACAACAAAGTTTATGAACTCAAAGGGACATGGATCGACATTCATGACAAACCCATGTCTTTCAATGCACGACGCTATCATAAAATTGAGCCACATGAAGGTCATATGTGGGTGCTAGCAGCATACACGCCGCAGTCGTTTCGACGCTGCTCCGACGAAGTTTGTTCACAGCTGAAAGAACTCGAATTTCCATGTGAAGCTCAATTCGAATGAATTGACACCATTCTGGAATTCTAGCAGGCCGAGGAAACGATGAAACTGCGGCATAGCACCATTCCAGCGGAATCCAAATTCAAACTCCGACTCCCGCCAGGCCGCACTATGGCCCAAAAGATTTTGCATGGACTTTGCAGGCACTTTCGGGCGTTCTAAAAGCCTGCTCTGAGCCTTCTAGGCCACGTTTTGGAGCGAGTTCTGATCGAAACCGGGGAGAAGGACTTACCCCATGAACGAAACAGCCAGAGACTACACCATAACATAGCGCAGTTTTGAAACATGGATATAAGAGAGAGTCCCTGCTATATTTGATACGGACACAGACGGTACATGGAGACCAGCTCACACATAACGCGCGACAGTCTTGAATGGAGAGGCAACATGGGTAGATCATTGTAATCTCCAAAATTGAAACACCTGACAGGGGCTAGGGAACACACAGGGTCTTAGTGGAGTCTCCAATTCCTCGGTTCAGACCCACACCACATCCAGAACGCGATAGCGCTGATGGTGTAGCATCTCTACTTTTTGATCAGCTGACCAACTCATTCCTGCAATCAGTACAACACATCGATCTGCCTGCTGCCAGATTTTCTTGTCCATGCTGCTTTTGTTGCTCGAAAAACTTCGCTAGTGCATCAATTCCGATGGCTGGTACCCGTAAAGCAGCACAATAGAGCCTCTCAGTCTCCGTCGTAAATTAGCCCAACTCAGTGTCCACAACAGACAATCCGAATATGGCGCAAAAAGAGCAAGAAGACACATTCAGTGAAAGATGGTGGAATAAAAGAAAAGGAGGACAAAAACGACCCGCAACCGCAAAACACCACAACCAACGCCCCAACAAAGTCCCAGAACAGAAGGTCCTTCTCTTCAAGTTTTGTTAACCGGTAAGACTAACGTTACAACTGCAGTAAATAAGCACGTTAGTGACAAGATAAGATAAACTGTACAATCTTGTGCGCTAGAACTGCAAACTACGCCTTCAGAAAAGAGACTCAGGTAAGAACCAGCATCTCAACTTCCCGGAATTGCACGCTAAGCTACTCATGTGCCACCATGACCGGCTTCATACAAGAGCCAAAGTATCAAGAAGCCCACTAATGCGCAAGCAATCAAGGTTAGCATGATGCCTGGACCGAGCGTGCGCGCAGTAGATGCTCCTCAAACAGCCTGCTGGGGCGGGTGACCCTCTTGCCCAACCAGCGATAGGTCCACCGTCCGGCGGACTCTGGGCTTCCCTCGTGCGTCTTGAATGCACAAGGGGTCTGGACTAGCCGCCTGACGAGGGTTGCCCGAAAGCATTTTCGTCAACTTCCATCGCTATGGTCTGCTCCAGACCGTGATTGCTGATGTTGAGGGAACTCCGAGAATGGCAACAGGCACTGGATTGCGGGCATTGCCTAGCACGGACTGCAAGCTGGCACTAACCTGCCTTGCATCCCCACAGGCCGGAATCTCAACACGATCAGGTCACCGTTGAGAAGGATGATCTTTTTTGCCGACCTGTTGACGGATAGCAGCGAGAATCCCTGTCTGAAGAGGGCTGCCATCCAAGCGAGTAAGTTCTAAATAATGGGCTGCAGCGGTGCGCTGCCTTTCATGTTAATAAACTGCGGAGAGAAGACTAGAAAAAGGCCAGGAGATGCTTCCCACGGTGTCTGTGATAATGTAGTCCTGCAAGGAGGCACGCCAGAGAAGTCCTCTACTTGTCGCTTTCTCACGTGCCATGGATAAATCTTTCCGTCAGGCAGGCGCGAGTGTATGACATCGGTGCTTCTGCGCTTCTTCTGCCCAATCTAACTCCGAGCGGTTCTCTTCCAGCCTACTTTCTAGTTCACTGGAGGCACCTCGGCACGAAGAAGCCGGTTTTCGTGTGATTTTCG